GGGAGCATAGTCGTACGAAAACGTGGTAGAGTACGGATGGCTGCCTGCGTCGCGTTGCTTCCGCCGTTTGAACGTTGTGTTGAGCGTTTGACGTCATGAGCTGTTCAATTCCGCTTCGAAAGACCTAGGTTCTTGTAAACGGAACATCGAGCTTCTACTACTGCAACCAGTATAAAGAGGGTTATCATTCAGGGAATCTGGGTGCCCGCATTTACTAGTCGAGTTCGAGTTAGAACATAGCACAGTGCATCAAAAGAGATAGCCTTCCTTTTTTCAAAAGGTTGATCCTCTTGCTTAGGAAGAAAAAATCTACGCCCATATAGCTTCATGCGTGTCAGAACTAAAGGATCGTCGGATTTTCAACATGGCTGAATAAGCAGTAAGAAGGCCGTCACGCAAGGGCCCAAACATACATATGTGCATGCATCGGGCGGCACGCTGGCAGCACTAGTCAGTCATGGTGTAGTGCTTGAGAAGTCGTGACCAGGTGCACTGCCTTGACAGTGGTAAGCGTGGACGTGCATGGCCCCCAGACGTTCCCACGCCGAGTCAATTACCGGTAACGTAGAATTAGCAGAGATGGCTCTTTGCCCAATCACCGGATTAAACTCAGGCCAAGGCCCGCCTTTCCAACAATCCAACAGCCATGTGTGGTGGGCGGTGGGCGAGCTGCAGATAACATCTATCATTGCATCAAGACCGTAGTGATGAGTAGACTAACCAAGCTGTGCAAGGTAGGCCTATGAGCCGCTTGCTTCTCATGGCGCAGCTTGCGGCTGTCCGTCCGTACCCAATCTCAGAGGACGAGGCGTCGGACCGACGGACAGCGCGGCCGCCCGTCCCTAGTGCCGCGGCCGCGCAACCCCGTCTAGTCGATATTAATCCGGACCGTCAAGATACCGTAGCTCGACGGCGAAAACCACTGCGTACAGGCAATCAGCTTTCAATTAGGCGTCAGTTGGTCAGCGACATAGGCAAGCCGATATATGGCCGATATGCGTGCAGATCGCCCTCTGGATCTACAGTCTACAGAATACAGACTACACTATGGTGGGCGTACTGCATCACTAGGAGAAAGTTGGCGGGTTGAAGGGCATGCATGCAGGTTGTCCGCTCTATCTATGCCAGTAGCTGCATCCGCCCCTCTCTGATGAAAATTGCTCAGTATGTCGTCAAGCTGACCCACTCCGGAATCGTTTGTTTGAGGTGCAACTCAACCGAAGCTCACTGAGAAGACTTTCTCAAAAGCTGACTAACGAGGATGCAGCTACTTCATGACAGCTTCGCAGCGCCACTGACCAGGATAGCTGTGGTTGTGTCCAAAAGTAGGTTGAATGTAGGGGTCGCTGACATTCAGCTGTAAGTCTGCTGCATTGTATTATTCAGCTCAACCGCCTGTTGACTGAAGAGCTGGCGAGCCACAGATAAGAGTGGGCCATTTATGCATCAGCTTCAGAGAGCGAAGGTCGAGCATTGAACAGTCAAGACTTCAGTAATATACATCCCCGGCTGCTTGTGGGGCCTACATTGACGTCAAACTAGGTTGCATGGCAGAGAGATATGCAGGTCTTAGTGGGCTATTGGGACATCACATTAACACGAGCATAAGAGATTTCCATGGCTGATGTTCTGACGAATGTAGGCCCCGTTTTCTTAAGGTTCCCTTTTGCTAGCTGTCCGAGCAAGCTGGGGAGCTCATAACACTAGCTTGAAAAAGCCTGCCAATGCTTGGCAACGGCTTTGAGCTGGGGCCAATTTTCGGACATCCCGCTCGTTAGACAGCGAGCTATTTAGACCCCTTTCAGAGGTCCAATCAGAAAACGGGGGACGTTCTGAGTGCCGCATTTGCCGCATGGAGGATTACCGCTTTCATTAACAGGAGCAGCTACACCGCTGGACATACAGGGGCCAGGTAAGAAAAGCTCACCAAATAGAAAGCTTACCTTCACAGTGCAATAGAGATCTTCGGATGGTATTGTCGGATGGTTGAGAAAACCAATCATGCAAGGTGCAATGCTTTTGGGCCTCGCTCAAACGAACAACTTTTGAGGGCTCGGAGACTCCTGCTGTCCCACCGTGTTTGCTCAACTAAAAAGGAGCACGTTCTTCAGGCAGTCAGGTCGTAAAGAGAGCAGGGTCCAATGGGCAGTGGAGTCTCATGGAGCCACCAGTCTTGTCAATGAATTGCCAACATGCCAAAGTAGCCCAGAATTGAACATCTCATTGTCTCTATGGCTTTTATCAATCATCAGACTTGGGTCTCCTAAAATCGACCTTGCAGCATTGATGTAGCTGTTGAAAAGCAGCTCTTGCAATCCACTCTTACCAGATTAGTTCAGCTCTGAGGATTAATACACCCGGTAAACGGTTTTCACAGGTCTGTGCGGATGCCTCTGCCTATCTGGTGCAATCCACTTCTGAAGAAGACAGTGTCTCTTTCTTGCCAACTTCCTTTTGGGTAAGGCTTAGCCTGAGTGGCATACAGAACAGAGATTCTCTTTCATGCAGCTAATCCGATGGCGGAAGTCAGCCAGCATGTGCGCAACAACAGCGCCATCTTCAACATAACCAGGGGGGAGCGGCACCCCTGGGACTACGACCCCCTGATGTCGTTTCGCCAGGTTGACAGCCCTGACACGAGGGCCAGCCTTCCCATCTTTACCACGGCAATGAGCGTCGTTTCCGCATCTAGTTCTCGGAGGTCTTCGCTGAGCGGGAGCGAGGTGGACCCTGCAGAAATACGGTCCCAAATCGGGTCAGAAAAGGGGTTAAGCAGGTCGAAGCGGAGCTCCTTGGGAGGGGTGGAAGTAGTCACAACAGTGCTCAAGCCAAAGCTTCTCAAGAGTACAGTCAAAGCTGGCCGGGCTGGGGCCAAGTCTGGGATCCCAAAGCCAAAGGAGGTGGCAAAAAAGACCGCGGGGCTTTCGAGTCTCAGGAGAACGAGCAAGGCGTCGTCTCTGGGAGCAGCAACGAATAAAAGCAGGAACAGCGGGGCGGAAGGAAAGCAAGCGCCGAAGAAGAAGAAGGGGTCAAAGGAGGCCCCTCCAGAAGGAAATCCGCTGTCGCCTTGGACGGCAAAGGAAGACATAATCTCCCCGCTAGTGTTCACGTCGTCACCCTCCAAGCGCAAAGGGCTCTTTATCGAGATCCCGAGCTCGACGCAGCTGTCCAGTCGGAGCAGCTTCGTGGGGAGCCAGTCGGTTGCTTCGGACGATGACCGGGAGGGTTTGGACGGCGATGCGGACCGCGGACAGGGGCGCAGGGGCCAGCTTTCGGACCGGAGCCGCGTCAGCAATGGCCAGGACTCTGAGCATTTGCGGACCACACTGGGGGCCAGCGAGAAGTCGCAGTCTCGCGGCGCGTCCCGGATTGGTAGCAGTCAGGGGCAGAGTCCGGTAGCCGCATCTGCAATCGGCAGTGCAAGGTCCAGGGAGGGGAGTGCGAATCTACGGTACCCAGCAGAGGGAAGTGTGCACAGCAGCGCAGTATCAGAAAGGAGGCGCCGGTCTAGTGTCAGTCTCTCTCATCTGCTTCCCAAGGAAGAGCGAACAAACAGCGTCCGTGGAGAAAGCATCCCGGCAGACGGGCTTCATAGCACACGTGCGTCATCGCGGCAGGGAAGTCGTCATGCTGACGAGTTTTCACATCGGTCAACTCCACGGACTGAAGAGTACAGAGACGTAAGAGTTTCTGGCGGTTCCAGTAGGGCTGGTTTAAGAGACTTGGAAGAACGAGGGGACTTTCTGGGCTCAAGCCGGGCAAGTTCCCTTGGAGAAGGGGACAGAAAGCAGCCGTCTGAGCGAGGGGCAAGTCGGCTTGACACCACCTCGCAACCGTCAGTCCGGGACGAGTTTGGAGGGGATCGCAGTGTCAGGGGTTCCATCAAAGGCAGCCCTCTAGCAGAAAGGGACCTGGGCCGAGGCTCGAGCCTCCGTAGTGATGAGCGCCTAGACACACAGATGCGAAGCTCGAGACTTGACGAGCTACGGGGCGCTGAAAGTTTGAGGAGCTCCCCCAAGGGAAGCGTCCAAAGCGTAGCAGAAACAAGGGCGGAGCGGGAGGAAAGACTGGCGAGTCGGGCAAGCTCTTACCGCGACTCTGGGGAAGTCGAGGAAAGACCGGCAAGCAGGGCAAGCTCCTACCGACATTCTGGTAAGGAGACAGCATCGAGGAGCGCTTCAGCCCGAGCGGATTTCCCGTTTGACGGAGAAGAAACACGTAGAACCTCCAGAATTTCGCTGTTGGCGGACAAAGAGGAGCGGAGCTCTAGCCGAGCGGAATCCTCGCTCGCGGAACGAGACAATTCCCCCCGGTCCGTTGACGGATCCACCCGGGCGCGGTCCTCCATAAACGCGGCCATCGCGGCGGCCGATCTGGCCGTCGCGGCCGCGATGCGCGGCCGCGAAACCCCGCAGTCCGATCGAACCCCTTCCCGGACCTCCCCCCTTGCGCTGCTGGAAACCCTGGCCGGTGAGCGGACACGGTTCACTAGCACGACAATCAATCTTCAATTTTTCAAGTAGAGCATCTTTGAGGAGCGGATAGGATTGGCTCGCCAACAGTCTATCTTCTATTCCTCTATAAGAGCAACTACAATTCTCTAGGAGGAGCGATTAGAAACGGCTCGCCACTTGGGAGGTGCGCGAATCTATTCTGCACGACCAAAAGCTCACAATGCCCCGGCGCCTGTTCTTGATCCTTTGCCATTGATGCAGGGACTTCGCCGAAAAGCACGCGCTCCGCCAGCCCCGCCTCCCCCAAGTCAAAGTCGCGGTCGGGGACTCCTACCGGGCGAGCCGCGCAGGAGCGCAAGGCGCAGCTGCTGTCCTCGGGGCGGTCCTCCGTGTCGCGGACGGGCAATTCCGGCGACCGGTCGCCCCGCAGCAGCGGCGCGCGGTCGCCGCTCGGGTCGCACAGTCCCCGCGGGCGGTCGCCTCTGGCCAACAGCAGGGAGCACAGTTTGCTGAAGGCTGCGCTCACGAGTCCGCGCAAAAGTTTCGCGTCTGCGACAGAGCGGGGACGGAGCCCGAGTCGAGATGGCACTCGTCGGCATACCGACTCTCACGGAGAAACGGGTGAGAGCAGTCCACGGAGACGGTCTCAGAGCTGGACACGTGGCACCCCTGAGAGCCCGACGGAGAGCCGGAGGTCGAGCCGTGCTCGGGAGGAGAACGAGAGCGGGGGCGATACGGAGCCGAGTAGCAGACGCGCTAGCTCTCGAGCGGCGAAGGAATTGGAGGCACTAGGAGGGAAAGAGGGGGACGAAATGACGGGCAGAATTACCCCCAGGAAAGCACCACACTCTGACAAGAGCCGGCGGGAAAGCACAGTAACGGAAAGACCCGTTAACCGGTCACGAAGCCCCTCCGTTGGCCGCTCACGCCACTCGTCAATCGTCCTTTCACCGACCAGAGCAACTTCCCGCGCATCTTCCCCAACTGGCCGACGAAGGTCGATTGCCACGTCACCGGTTGCTACGTCACCACGGACGTCATCCGCCGCCCGGCAGATCCACAGCACAACGCCCAAGTCGCCTCTGGGGTCCGTCCGGCGGTCCTTCGTCGCGCCGACGTCACCCGGGGACTCGCTGACGTCACCTCGGCGGCCGTGGGGCAGCGCCGTCCCGAGGAGCCTCCCCGCCTCTCCGAAGGGGGCGACACACGTGTCGAGGTTCAAGGAGGAGCTGTCGCCCAAAAAGCGGAGCAACAGCGTGGCGGGGTCCCCTACGAGGGAACGGGGTAGAGAAGATCTCAGCGAGGCGCGGGAAGAGAGCAGCAGAAAGAACAAGGTTGGAGAGAAAGTTTCCGCTGGAGAAAACGGATTGCAAGAGCAGAAAGCTGCGGTGAAGACTTCGAGCCGCACCGGAACGCCGACGAGGGATGAGGATGCGTGGAGAAAGGGGGATGCGCCAGACAGCGGCGCCATGAACAATGACAAGGTGAGCTTGTATTCCTGCATGTCTTGAGCGGCGAGTCTTGATCCTCTTGGGTTCTGATTTCTTGCTGAAAGGCTGCTCGCATGAAGAACTCCAGGAGCCGTTTCTTAGCTGCTGGTTGAGCTGCTTCGGAACTCATTTTGCTCCATGTGATTCGATGATGGTAATTGGCGGTTTGAATGTATCTTCAAAGGAAATATGTATCATATAAGAATACGTAGCATACTGTTTTACTATTCCACCTGAAAGCACCGTGGCGATATTGTCAATGGTTTTGAGATAGACGTAATCAGCTAGCATGTTTCTCTGCAGACACCCCGGAAAAGTCAACACCGCGAGGGGCACGTGAGCCATACTAGGCGGACGCCAGCCGAAGACAGAGGGTGAGAGATCCGAGATTAACCACTTCTAATCTTGTCTGGAAGGGGTCCATCTTACTTCGAACCTCTTTCTTTAGTCTTCTCTGCTTTTCGGTGTCCTCCAACGAAGTAAAAGCGTTTCGGTCCCTTAACATCCCTGTCGACACCAAATTTTGCTTCGACACCTGCTTCCTTGTTCTGCAAGTCATTGCCACTCGGATCAATGAATCGTAGCACTTTTCCCTTGCTTACATGTCTCCCACGTCCCTCTGACCTCTGAAGAAACCCAAAGAGCCCGGTGCTGATTCTGCATTGCTTTTGACCTGAGCTCGAGTCCTTCTTCCGCGTTGGCTCTCCTTATTTCAAAGTCGGCTTTTGTAGACCCGTTCGTGCTTACACCGTCTCGTCATAGCTCTCCAGCAGTATTTTTGGATGTAGATTTGAGACGAAATTGAATGTTGGCAAGATGTTGTCCGGAGTACGGATGTCGGCGGTTACCGGGTCAAGTGGGCATGTCAAACTTTGGTCAAAGTTCACTTACTGCTGTAGTGTCCCACTTACTAGTGTAGTGTCCCACTACTGAACCTATCTCGAAACGGACCAAATCTACCTAAACTTTTGACCTTATATTCATTTTTTTGAATTTGTCTTCCAGCCTGTCGGACGACCTCCGGGGTGAGGTGCAAGAGCTCGCGCGCGCGCTGGAGAAGGAGCGCCAACGGGTGGCCTTCCTCGAAGAGGAACTTGCCGCCAGCGAGCGGTTCGCGAAGAAGCTTGCTTTGGAACTGGATGAATGGAAGGTGAGGTTGGCAAACCACCATAGCTCATCCAACTTCGGGAATGTTCTTTTAGCATCTGCGGATTGTGATCAATTGATCAGGCCGCATTTGCGTCTGGTTCTGTGGGCTCAAAAGCTTTGAGGAATTGTCGGTGGACGTATATGCAATCAGATATGAAAGGTCGTGTTGAAGTACGGTACCTTCGTTAATCCGAAGTTCCATTGAACGGCTCAGATAACAGCTGCGCTGAGTTTGGGTACAATTGGTGGTTGTTTTGGTATGCAATCCCAATCTGGAAAAGACAAAGACCTGTTTTCAAGATACTATGTCATTCACCCTGACAGACGAAAGCGAGGCAGTACGAGACCGCTGCCCTCCAAGCGGAAGGACGGATCGATTACGCCAAGCGGAAGGAGACGGAGCTGTCGGAGTTGCGGCAGAAGCAACTGAAGCTCGAGAACGAGGTGGGCGGATTGAACGTCGATACATTACTGAATTTTCCGATTTTCCCCCTTCAAAACTGGTTTATTTGTATCAGGGAACTTCTGAGTGCTCAGAACGATCACTTCCTCATCACGACGCACTGAAAGAGACTCTGGCTACTTCCATTTACACGTGTCTTCGACAAGCGACAGTGTGTAATTCGTCCTTGTGAATCTCAGAACCTACCTGTCGTACTACGTGAGCTTCCGAATCCGTCAAAAATACCCGTCCCTTACCCTTTCGGATTCACTACCTCGCAAGAAGCTTTTCTAGTCGCTGATCCGGCCTCCAGTCACCACAACTCTTCAAAATCAGCTTTTTTGGCAATAATTATGCCTGATTCCATTATACTGTCTCGCAACTTTCCGCCCTTAATCAAGCCGATTAAACAATTTCTTCTTCGCAAGCAGTCTTTCTGGCTTATACCGCGTCTCCAGTTCAACCTTCTCAAACCACACATTAAACGCTCATAGGCCGACGAGTGGCGTCAGAAGTACACGCGCCACCGGCGGGTGTCGATGGAGAGCGAGGTGGCGGCCGCGGAGAAAGCCGCGGCGCAAGCGCGCAGGGAGGCGGAGGAGGCGGCCGCGCTGATTCAAGACGACGCTCGAAGGGAGGTAAGCCAATCATCCGGTGGTCTCAAGACATCTTCTTGACAGCAAGACTCACAGTGACACCAAGGAGATCATACATCGCCGTCTCTTGTACCAGTGTTGTAACTCTGGTGCCGGCTAAATACGAGGGCTATGTGAGGGCGTCCACTGCACTTCGCTCAACTTTGAGATTCGAGCGGAGACAGATCATACAAAGGTCTCCTTTCACGCTGCTGTAAGAGAAACTGCTTCCAAAGGCCTGAGCCCTTGACAAGCGAAAAATTTATTTTTCTCATCCTCTTCCCAGACAGGCCTTTTCCTCAAGGTGATAATTGGAACCTCCCTCTGCTTGCAGCTTAAGGCCGCCCAAGACGCCCTCCAGGAGCGCGACGCGCGCGCCCGCCAGCTCGAGCGCGAGCTGACGTCGGAGCGCGGCGCGCGCGCGGCCGCCGAGGCCGATTCCGCGTCGGCCAAGGCCGAAGCCGCGGAAGTGCGCGGCGCGCTGCAGAATCAGGGTTTGGAGATTGAGCGCGCGCGCAGGGCGAGCGAAGACCTGGAGGACCGCCTGCGTGACGAGGCGCAGATGCGGCTGGGACTGGTGGAGATGACGGAGGTGCGGCAACTAGAGCGAGCGCTCGGGGACAAGGAAGCGGAGCTGCAGCGCTGCAAGAAGAAGCTGGCAGAAGGTGCGACAAAAGGAGTTCCGTAACTCGATTTGTCTTCTAAAGGGATTTTGCAGCTCTTCTGTACAGTGCGTCCGGTATATGAAAAATTGACACGATATTGAAATGAGTCTAATGCTTTGCGCTGTGGTTCCACTCAAATACAACGTTACTCAAGATTGAAGCCCAAACCTTTATGGTCTTCTGCTGACAGGATCTTGCTAAGCCTGAGGAGGTGTTAACAATCCCTGGAGAAGCTTATTACGAGGAATGCTTCCTGGACGCAACCTGGAAGCGCCGCAGATTGCGAGTCTCTCCGCGAAGGTTCGATTCACTAAAAGCCAACTTCTTGTTCACCCTGCAGACGAGAAAGCGGCAGCGGAAACCACGACCGCTCACGAAGCCGAGATCCAGGCGCTCCAGGACAGCCTCGCCGCGTCCGCGCGCGCGCTCGCGCACCTTGCGGGCGGCGCGAGCGGCGCGACAAGCCCGCGCGAGCACGGCCCCGTAACAAACCTGGACCATCACATTCGACGAGTGCAGCGGCGGATAAGCGAGAGCGAAGTCACGGCCGCGCGGGTTGAGGAGCTCGAAAACCGGGTTAGCGATCTAGACCGGGCGCTAGAGGCCCGTAACGAGGAACTAAAACGGGTTAAGACGGAACAAGCGGAGGCGGCCGTAGCGGCGGGGGTCGAGTCGGTGGAGTTGCGGCGCCAGTTCGTGGAGGCGAGCGAGGAGCTGACACGTGTCAGAAAGCAGTTGGTGGACGTGCAGCGGGCGAGTGACACGTGGCAGGATAAGGAGCAGAAGCTGAGGGGGGAGCTAAGGGTCGTGAAGGAGGAGAAGGAGAAGACCAACGAGGAGCTGACAGCTGTCCAGCGGCAGGTGCGGGCGGTCAATGAGGAGGCGACGCGTGTCAGGGGCCAGCTGATAGAGCTGCAGGTGAGGAGGTCTCGCGTTGGTGGGGTGGATCGCGCAATGTTTTCAACTTCAGTCCTCAATTCGGGTCTCTTTCAAGTATACCTTTGAAAGAAAGATTTGAATATACTGGACAAGAGTCGCTCCGAATACAGCTGCATATACAGAATTCTGAACAGATTGGTCTCCTCCCCGCCACTCTTGTGTAAGCTTCCGGGTCCTTGACATGAATCGCCCTTCTACGTTTCGTAATCGGCTGTGGCATGCCGCGATCTTTTTACAGGTATTCTGACTTCAATCACTGCATTCTGCTTTCCTTCACGTGACACGATTGTGAGCGCACGTATGAGGATACGTTACTTATCCAACGAAACCTTTAGCTTGCGGATGCCACCGCTAAGGACATTGTTCCAGCCAGGCCTTTGATTTTGCTTTTGCTGCCGCGGACCCCACGTAAGGCAGTCGCCAGAACGCAAGAAGTAGAAGTTTTTAAACCTCACTTGTTGATTGCTGACGTTTTGCTGACGTCCTTTCCTCTCAGGGCAAGGAAGTTGTGCACCGCGAGAGGGAAGAGGAGCTCCGTGACGAGACCCTCCGACTGCGCGACGAGCTGACCACTCTGCGCGAGATGCTCATCTGCCTGGGCGACAAAACGCCTGAGGCCAACCGGAAACGGTCGCCCGAATCGCGCCGGGTGGCAAGCGACGCCTCGGGTGACGCATTCGCAACGCGCGCGGTCGTCAGATCTGACGTCAGCGACTCCGAGGACGATTCGCGCGCGCGGGCGCGCCGGGCGAGCCGGCGGCTCGACTTCGACGAGGTGCCGGTGCGGGACACGGACCGTTCGGGAGATCCGGACGCTGCCCAAGCTTGCAGAGCGGAGAGGCGGAATGGAACGGAACGGACGCCGGAACGGACGAATCGGACGTACGAAGATCAGAAAGAGGTTGATCTGGCGTGGGCGAGGCACGAGGCGAAGCGGCAGGCTGCGTGCTTGGAGGCGCTCAAGGGACAACTGGAGGGCAAGAATTGCGAGCTTGCGGAGGCGCGCATTAAGCTGGTCGAGGCGAAAGCGCTATCGCGCGAGGTCTCCGCGCTGAGAACGCGCGAGGGATCGCTGCGGCGCGAGGTTGAGGAGGCGGAGCGGGAGCGCGACGAGTTGCGGCGCGAGTGCGCGGGACTGCGCGCGCGGCTGAAGCGCGATAGCTGGCGGGAAGAGGAGCAGTGGGGGAGACGAAGCCCCAGGAGTTCATTGGACCGTTACTCGCGGCGCAATACCCGGAAGGCGTTCGAAGACGAATCGGAGCACAGCCGATGCGACTCGGACTGTACGACATGCGAGGAGGATCAGTTGGGCAGCCACGGACGGCGACGGCGGTCCGAAGGGCGACATGCAGGGCAGCGCGCGCGGGGGTCAGGTCGCCACGAGGGAGTGCGCGAGCTCCAGGAGAGGCTCGCGCGCTTTCGCGAAGAGAAACGGGAGCTGCAGTCGGAAATGGAGCGTATGCGGAAGCGCCAGGCGGCGCTGGAAACGGAACTCAAAACGTGCCGGTTTGAAAGTCAAGAGTCGGGCGAGAAAGTCGTCGCGATCCGCGAGGAACGGCGCGCGGGGCAGGAGCAGCTCAGCGTGGCGAATGAGAAGCTGACACGTGCCCGGCGGAGAGTGGAGGAGCTGGAGGCGCAGGTGGAGTTGCTGCGCGCGGAGGTTGCGCGGAACGCGGGGCGACATGGAGCGGAGAGAGGGCCGGAGTTGGTCGCCGCTCTGGCGCGCGCGCGCAGGGCGGAGAAGGAGCTTCACGAGACGCGGGGGTTGGTGGCGCGTCTGAGGGAAGAGACGAAGAAGCTGAAAGAATCATCTAATGGTCGGGAAAATGCACTTGATGACATGATAAGTATGCCGTTCCGCTTCGAGGGGGTCATAACGTCGCCCCGATAATGGAGGCCCGCCAGTCACGGCGACAATAAGTAGCGTCATAGTCGCAGAATCAAAGGTAGATAGACTCAAATGGATAAAATAACAGAAGATGTAATCCCTGCACCATTCCTGCTCAATGAAGAGCTTCACGAAATGGGAGGGCGCACTATCATAATGATTTAGACCCAAACCGTCCTTGGTTTTGGGGTGGACATCAACTGAGCCGGCGAACATGTGAGGCGGCGGGCCGACGCGACTTGTCTATTGTCAGAAAAAGCAGCAATGCTCTTCATAAAGTAAGGTCTATAACCACTTGAACACGGCCGTGTACAACTGTTTGTCCAGATTCAATTGTTGTAGGCGCCATATATCTCGACTCTTTCTGTGCCGTGCGTGTACTTCCTCTAGGGTTGTGCACGGGGCTTGAGCACCGTCTGGCAATGGTCAATGGAGCCAGGACATGTACGATATATGAACTGTGGTGAACATCGGTAGTTGAACGATTCTGTACGTTGAATCCATCCTTCATATGATGCCATCCAATATGCAAGGCCGCCCCTGACAATTAGCAATCGACTAGCAGGTGGAAATGATCTTCAATGTGAACTTAACATACGTCTAGCAAATGTACAACCCTTAAGTAGCTCAAGCACACTTCTAACCACACAACAACCACTTTTTCACTTAAAAACCGTTTCCTTGAGCATATATCCTTGTAATGTCCAATTCAAAGCATCTATAGGCGGTGAGATGAGTACGCGGCATGTAACGTCTCAATATGGTAGAGAGCGGCTGTTAGCTCGTAACGAGTAGACCATCGGACCGAGTACGAGCTGGCGGCCGGGGAGACAGAGGAGAGCGAATTCGTATTCGTGCACCTAAACCAAACATGCTGTGTTTCTGATCACAGGTATGGTGCATGAAAATTTGCGCGCGTGAAGATTTTCACAGCTCAGATTAATACTGGACTATAGGACAGTCTTCGGGGATTTAAAAAGCAAGAGGATTGAAGTGGATTTGATTGAGCGGTCGAAGGATAGATGACAAGAATTCAGAGCGAAAAATATTTGTTACGTCTTATGGCAACTGGTTACTGTACAACTGAATCCGTCCTTCGATTTGTGAAGCCTCACATTGAAAAGATCCTACTACTGTATAGATATATGCGCTGCTAACATCCTAGCGATACAACGTCTTCATTGTATAACATTGTATACAATGGTATACCAGTCACACCAACTTTCAAAGTTCCCAGCCTTCAGAAAACACCTTACAAAAACCCGTCTAATGACAACCATCTCTAAAAGAAGTCTCGTTTCTCGTCTCAAGAGAAGACAGCTTCCAACGCCTGCGCGCTCGAGCAACTCTTACCACCAGAAAGCAGCCTACCAACATATGCGCGCCTCAGTAAACCTCTACCAGCGTGCTTTTTCTGAAAGGAATGCCAAGTCCCCAAACCACTTCTTCGCACCCATCAAAGACTATCATACAACTAATGCTACGCCGCGGGCTCCGCGTTATACAATTCCGCGAAAGTGGTGCGGCCTTTGAGGTACATCAAGGGTAACCTGTGGATAATCTTACTTCTCAACACAGCCCTGAAGAAACTTCGACCTCCCCTTCCTACACTTCGAGGAATTCTCCCGCCACAAACTCGGTGTTTCGTCGAACCAACGATCCACATCTCCCCTTTCCGCATTAAATCTAAACTCCTGAATCTCCAACCCCCGGACTCCATGCTCCCAAACCCAGCTCCCGAACCCCGAACACCGAACTCCAAACCCCAACCCCTAAACCCTAAACCACAACCCCTGAACCGCTCACGCCCCGCCCGCCTTCATGGACGCGGAGCGCAGGCCGTGCACCTCGCGCGCGTGCTGCAGGTTGAGCAGCGCCTTCTCGAAGGTGACGAAGCCGAAGAACCAGAACTGCTCGCTGCCCGTCATCTCCACCTTGATGCTCTTGTCGCGCTCGCTGCGGCCGTTCGCGCGGCTCTCGATGTGCGCCACCTCCGCTAAGGGAAGTACGACCTGGGGGAGAGAAGATCAGGAAGTCAGGGATTAGGGTTTAAGCTCAGTTGTTAAGTAGGACCTCAATTTTAGACCCAAAAAAATAGGGGATGGGGCCAAGACGTCCCGCTTTTCGGCATCAGAAATAGGGCCGTCGCTGACTGCCTAACATTCGAGGAGTTGACAATGTTGAGGGAGATTCGCAAAGTGCCGGTTGGGGAGGCGTGAAATTTTAACGAACAGCTCGTGTCGATCCAAATAAAATACGGATGACAAACCGGTGAATCGACCGCAATGATTCTAGAAAAACATATCTCATAAGGCAGTACCAGAGCAACAAAAGTTTAGCAGTTGAAGCAGATAAGAAGCCTCCTAGTGCAAATGCGACCGCCTCTGCATATCCAATCAGAGTCCCACAAACGAAGAGACTGAACACTGTACGGTAAGCTGCTGGCTCCGTTTGTCCAAGCCGCTGAACGAGATCAACGTTCGGAGAACCCTTCAAGTCTTTCTAAGCACCGACTTAGAACGGTGTCCTGGACAAACGCCAGTTGTTCAACAAATGCTGCAAGTTTGACAGTCCCATTTGGTTTCGATATTCGAACGGCTCAAACACGTGCTTCTCTGCTCTTTACAGAATTTGCTGACTTTGTCTGTGCATGACGGGTATTCCATGCGGTCCCGATCTCGCCTCGCCCCCTCACCTTGTACTGATACTGCTCATACGAGGGCGGGGAGGCGACATCCGCCTCGGAGGCCTTCACCGCTCGCTGCAGAGCGCGGTCGGAGCAGAACCACAGGTTGTGATCGCTCAGGTACAGCACACCGGCCACGGCGCCGCTCTCGGTGGACAGCAGGCAGGCGAAGGCTGCAAATGGGGCGACGTGGAAAGATTAGATTGATAACGAGGAAAAGTTTGGACAAGAAAATGCGCGATCTCACAACTGGTGAGGAGTGCAGAGAGAGGCGTGCAATCCTGCGCGCGTACGATCCCCAGCGGTGACAAGGAAAGGAAATAACTGCCGAGGGTCAAGGGAGGAAAGACCGTGACCCTAGCCGTACTTCTGTGGCGGGCATTCGGTTAACGAGAACAAAGAGGACGGGAAAGAGGAAGGACTGCAAAGTCGTGTGCTATCCAACTCAAGAGCTACCTTGCGGGACCACCGATCGGGACCAATGAAATAAGTGGTTTTTGAGTTCGAGCTTGAGCGACTTTGCCGTACAATTTGAATTTCAGATTTTCAGCCTACTTCCACTTCCTCAGGTGCTCCTTGGGTGGCGGGCGGAGAGCCTGGCAGTCTCAAGATTTTCAGGTTCAGGGTTTCGATTTCACGATTGAGGGACTTAGATTTGATCAAACTCACACTTCCTGAGGTGCTCCTCGGGCGGCGGGTTGCAAGCCTGGCGGTCTCAGATGACTCATGTTTAGGGTTTCGAACTCAGGGTCAAAGAAACCTAGTTTCTGTCCAACTCACACTTCCTTAGTTGCTCCTCGGGCGGCGGGTTGAAGGCCTGGAGGGTCTCGAGAATTTCATTTGTAGGGTCTCTAGCTCAGGGTTAAGGACTTTGGATTTGGTTGAACTCACACTTCCTGAAGTACTACTCGGGCGGCGAATTGAAGGCTTGGGAGGTCTCGAGTATTTTAGTCAAGGAATTTGGGTTTGATCGAACTCACACTTCCTGAGGTGCTCCTCGGGCGGCGGGTGGAAGGCCTCGCGCCACAGGTGCTCCCCGCCGTGCAGCATGCGCTTGGCGACCACGTCCAGCTTGCCGAACGCGACGCCCGTCACCGAAGAGATGGTGCCGCCGCCCGCGGTCACTGCGCGCGCGCGGGGGAACGTGTGTTTTTATTGTGCACAGGGGGTGAAAACGCTCTCTTCGAACCAACCTTCTTTTAGTCGTACGAACAGCCCAAAGTGTTCGTTTGGCAGTGGAGGCCTAACATTGCCGGTAACAAAGTGACTTCGCGATTGGAAAGGCGGGAGGGACTCAGGTGAGGTGAAAGAAAGTGCCGCTCAGAAAAGGATCTTTCCTACGCTTCGACAGGCGGTAAGAGAGATCGGAGTCCGTACTCCCCCTGCGCAGGTCGCGCAGACCTGAAACAAAGCCCTGGAAAGGTGCTCTTCGCTCATTCAAAAATTAGAATTCTTTTTAGCAAACCGAACCGGCCGCCCGGCCCGCTCTTCTTGAGAGGTGAGATTACAATCGAGGCTGAAGAAGCTAGAGGTTGCAACTTACGGTGATGGTGAGTGTTGGTCAGCTTGTTCTGAGCGCGCCCAAAGGCGTACTTAGCGCTCGTCAGCAGGCTGGGGGCTGCACGTGGGACAGAAGCACAACTCATCAGAACACGATTTCGAAAGACTCGCTGTACCGTTTTGCGAAATCAAATCGCCGCCTCCGTGATCAAGGTAATCGTTTCGATAGCTCCGAAAAGTAACTGAGAACGTACAATGCTCTGGATCGACAAGAAGGATCAAAGGAGGCGGAGGCACCCATGTATTAACAAACGTTTTTGCCGTACGAAGACTCCAATCTTTCCTACGCCAGATCAAAGCATTCGTGGCGGAAGTAACCATCTGCCGCTCGTATGGCATCACGTACGGTCGAACGCGTGCCACCTGTTATCTATGCAAAGACATAAGCGATTCAAGGTCCTTACGTCTAGATAAAGTACTGCACTCACCCCAATCTGCGCAGAAAAATCTCGCACCAAGTTACATGTTCAGAGACGTATGTAATTCACGGTCCTTCCGTACAGTCAAAATTACCGCAATGATCCCAATCTGCACAGAGAACCTCCTGCCACCAAGTTGAAAACGCACCAAAACGAAAAACGGACCAAAGCTTGTCACTCACACTTGACCGGCTCCCCGTGCTGGAGGTACTGCTGCGAGCGGGGCGACATCGGTGGCTCTCCCATCTCGGCCTGCGTCGCCAGCCCTGAGGCACTCTCGTTCATACGCAAACTGCCCATGCCACTCTGCCCGGTTGCTGTCTCCGGGCTCTCCTTCACATACGAGGAGTCCAGGTCGCTCTGCTCGGTCGCGGCGTGCTGGGTGGCCGCTGCCGCGGCCGCGGGGGGCGCCTCGGCGGCGCGGCCTTGGCCTGCGGAGACGAATAATGGTCGCCGTTGATTGAGAATTCTTGCATTTTGTGGAGAAGTTCTATTTCAAGGTGCAGGAATCCCGAACGGGCCAAAACCAAATGTTTTTCCGGAAGAGGAGATTGTGTGGAAATGACGAAACGGATCAACAGACGATGTTGGTCTCGACGCAAAGGAAGGATCATTCATTTGCGTCGTATCACGCATGGCTGGATGCCCCGAGGAGTAAATCGTTGGCAGATAGAACGAACACGCGCACATGTCAGATGCCTTTCGAAAACCCACCCATGGCAATCTCGCTCTCGCGGTCCAAGATCGGCTCGCCCGTGACCGTCGAGCGCTGGAACTCGGAGGAAGTCCTGCCGGGCATGTGGTCCGCCGCCATTGAACCAGCGCCTGTTGGCAAGCAACCACAGTATTAGCGACCGCACTAATACACGCACTGTTCTAGTAAGGCAAGAAGTGCGCACCAGAACGGTTCATGTGGTTACTTGGAGGCGCGGGAGCTGAGAAAGGTCGGAACAGCTTTCAATCACTAAAGACTCTGCCAATTATGATGCACTTTCTGCCAGACGCAGTATAGTAAAATGTTCCTGGATTAGCACCATCAACGATGAGTGGATCGGCCATTGGGACGACTAGTAAAGCAGTGCTAATGTCCCACACTCTAGCACTCTAGCGCGCTTGTATCAAGAGATTTAACTTGTTTCTTGCAGAAACTTTCAGCGGACGTCGTTTAAGTGCTCTCATCTACGCAATTTGTGACAGTCAGCTCACAGACTCCACCTCTGGCGATTCGTTTGTGTCGGCGGCTCAAATTCTGAAGACATTTTGAAACTTTGGAAAAACATGTCTTACCGATGGCGCCTGTGCCAAGCGCCCCAGCCTCCAGTCGAGAGTGGTGCCCACCGCCATTGTTCAGGCCTGCGGAAAGCAAGGAACGCTCTTTAGGGCGTTCAGACCGGTTCTCAAAACCTGCCGTCTCGTTAAAGAGTGACAGGGCAGTGTTCGTCTGAACAAAGTACGATACCCAGACATGCAGATTATAAGTGCCGTCCGTGTAGTGATTTGCCGCGCTGCAGAGCTGGTGTCAAGGTCACCCCTGTAATTTCCCACTTGATCAGAAGTTCAGAAACACGCTAAAAACCTGGTCGAGCGCACCCTTTTCGACGTAAAATACACGTCACAACATTCTTCCGCCAACAATCAAGCGGCGAGAACATACGACCGTTCCACCAAGCAAGAGCACTCCCGAGAAGATTCAACAAATTTGCACGTGCAAGTCTCCGGTGCAATCTTACCAGTGGAGCGCTCCTCGTTCCAGCGCATGTCCGGAGTCTTCTCCCCAAGCATTTGCGGCGAGAGAGTCGTGGTCGCCCCTCCCTCCCCGAAGCTCTGCTCCCGCTCCACAGCCGACGACCGCGCACCACTCTGCTTTGTGTTCAGGATGCGCGACTCTTCATTCTGATTCCGGCTCCTCTTCCCCGCTCTGTAAGGCGTCTCCGCCTCGCTCCTGTCTTCGCCCACGAAGTTCTGGGCGCCGGTCTGGGGGTAGATCACTTTCTGGTTGTCATAACCCGAGTGGGCGAAGTTTTCACCGTGGACCCCTGGTTTCATACAAGAAATCACTTGTCAGCATATCCAAACCACGCAGGAAGCGAAAACGACGAACGAAAACGATGGGATACGCAGCCAACCCCTACGGCTTTCATTTGCACCTCTTGTGTGTTCTGCTTTTGTCTAACGACACCTAGGTCAAGAGTAGCAAATAGAGAATTTCTGCCTATCTAACTGGCTCCCGTCTCCTTTCGGTACCGCACCGCTCTGCCTCTGTGCAGATCAACAGAGATAGTATGCAGCACGCGCCATTACACGCGATATCAAGGAGCCAGCTTCACCAACCCAAACCTGGCAACGAAGTACTCCTTGCAGAAAATCATCGCAACCAACGGCAAATCCGACATGCCTTCCCTTAATTTGGCTGACCAAACGCACAACGTAAAAGCCTGCTTAGAATCCTCTCAATGCCGTAGATTCTTACCAGGGGCACGCTCCTCGTTCCAGGACTTGTCCGAGATTTTCTCGCCAAGGCCGTAGGGTGTGCGGGCTGTGGTCGCCCCCCCGACTCCAAAGCTCTCCTCCACTGCCGGCGACCTTTCACCCGTCCGTTCATAACCGCGGACGTTCGAGTCCCTATCAGAGATTCTCTCTCCCAGCTGATAAGGCGTCTCCGCCACGAGTCTGCCTCCGACCCCGAAGTTTTGGGCGCCAGTTTGGGGGTCGGTTACGTCCTGGTTACCGTAACTCTGTGAGTTCACGGACTTGCCGCTTAGGTTGTTTGAGTTCTGGTTCGCGAACTCTCTGTTAGAATAGCCTGCTCCGACCTCCTGGTTATCATAACCCCGCGCGCTGCTCGACTTCGCGATTGTCGAGTCGTAGTCGTGGCTGCGGTTCACATAACCCGGGTCGCCGTAACCCTGATTGGTGATACCCTGGTTGGAGAGACCCTGGTTGTTGAAGTCAAACTCTTGCTCACCGGTGTGCCGACCAAACTCCCTACCCGGGGTGGCAGAACCCAGAGGCATGTCATTACGACCTTCCACATCGTTCAGCTTCATGTGCTCAACCCTCTGGTTAACGTGACCCCGGGTTAAGCCATCCCGATCCCGCCCTACCTCCTCCTCGTTATCGTAACCGATATCCTGACCGGATCCAAAAGGCTCCCTTTCCAGCTTCCTTTCTTCGCTGGCCCTTTCCGTCGGTTGCACGTGCACGGCTGGCGACTGGTAGTAGTCACGGATATCCCCCGTTGGCTCTGCCCGGTTAGTAAGACCCGACCCTGACATCGCACGGTTCGGGGCTCTGGACTGGGAAGTCCTCTGCTCGGTGACCGTCTCCCGGGCAGAGGTGGAACGCCCATAGCGGGAGTTGTCGCGCTCCTGAGACGAGAGGGATCCAGTCCTACCTGCAAAGGAAACATCGGAACACGAGGTCAGCGCACCACAAATGGGAGAAATAGAAACTTTCGCGGCCGTTTCTCACACGCAAAGTGCTGTCCAGATCCAGCGGTAAAACGTCTGATACTGATCTGGGAGTGTCCTGGGGATTTGACGGGACTAACAGACAGGAAGCGGTTCAAAAAGTATTGAAAAAACCTTTCGTGTCGGTGATCAGAAGCCTGAATCGGTTTAGAACGGTTGCTAGATCGGTCAATTTGCAACCACTGGAACGCTTCGACCAAAAACACAACGATCCTGTCGACATGTAGACGCGAGAACCGTTAGTAGGTTGGAAACATACTGACGATACCCAAGAAAGAGAAAATGAAATTCTGCTAAATTTAAGGGGGCTTTTGGTCGTATGCATAAGTTTGCAGGATATGGAAGCGCCCGACAAAAACGGCGGAAGGTGGCCTGATTGCTTCTCAGTCGACAAACTGATTCTCATCTTGACCACCGTTGACTTCCATTTATTCCGACACCCATGTCCGACTGGCTGTATGCAATTAAATCCAGAACGAAGGCAGATTATTATCGGTGATTCACGCAGATTGTGAATAACCGATTCGAAACGACATAAGATACATACCACCACCCGATAACTAAAAGGATTCCAGCCCACAGATTGCACACAGCCGATTCTTTCTCGAACAAAATCGCCTCAAACAGCCCACGGATCGACGCCACACTAGCCACTTTCTCAAGGGACGCCACTAACCGGGGGCGTGGATGTGCTTCCACGATTCCCGAAACCTGGGATCCTCCCAAGGGTCGTACACATCCGCCTCACCCTGCAAGCTGGCCCTCTCCACTGAAACACCCCCCTCCCTATTGCCCGAAAAGTGGCCCCCCCTTTCATTTCTGGTGACGGCCTTGGCAGCAGCAGCACCCCCGGCAGCGGCAGCAGCAGCAACTGCGGGATCGTGTTCAGCTCCGGGGGCCACCCACGTGGGCCTCTGGGAGTCACGTGGGGGGCGTTCTACAGGAAGGAAAATGGAGATTGGAATCCCTATTGAACCAGCTTGCCTGGCAGTGGCAGGAACCTGAGTTTTAAATTTGCAATTAGCCTGAAATCTGGTTTCCCAGCTGCCGAAAGTTGATGGACACAAAATGGAGAATACAGAGTCACAATTATGAACCTTGTTAAGACAAAAGGAATCTATCCTTGAGGGTGTAGGGTACAGGATTTTTCAAGGGCGCATGTCATGATGACAAAGTCCCCATCAGGAATGAGAAGATGCCCCTCGAAAAACTCAATACGCAGAAACCTTCTTGCTTCTTCAGGTTCGGTTCATGCACCGTCTCCTGTGCTTTGATAGAGACAGTGGTCAATCCTACTATGCTAACAAACATACCTTTGGAAGGGCTGTGCATGCCCGACCCCCTGAAGGACCCGACCTCCGACGCCCTGTGGTCACCCCAAGCACCACCTTGCTCGCCCGAAGCATACCGCCCCGGCCTGGAATGGGGCACATCATGCATAACAGGGGAATTGTCCCCATAGTTGTCGTAGTCGCCCCCCTCATAGCCAGAGGTCTCCAGGGGGGTGTTACTCCTGGTTGTGCCGTGCCCCCCATCGTGCTTCGCAACAGCAATGGCGGCTTTCTCTTCGCGACGGCCGCTCACATGGGGTGGCGTGCTGGACTTGCGGAAGTTGAAGCCTTCTGTGGGGTTCCAGTTGCCCCTGGGGGACAGCCCCCCGGCAGAGGTGGAGTGCGCAGGCATGGAGGAAGAGATGCGGCCGGCAGTGGTGTCATCAGTTGTCTGGGGGTGCCTTGCAACGCTTGTCCCCATATCCTGTAACCAAAGCGTAAGTCCGGAGGGGGCTGAGGACGTGTACTTGCAGCTGGGACTAAGTGTATCTGTTTCAAACTTGACTAGGAGTACTGTGCTTCTTTGCAAACAGTTGTATATCCCAACTGTAGATGCTCAGACCTGCACGACTTCAGCATGAGACTTGCAATCTAGTCTCATGAACCTCTGAGACCCTTTGGAAGACAGACATATACGCAGTGGAAGTGGATATCACACATGCATGCAGCTTGGAGGAAGCTTCATAAAAAAGTCTTCTGACATATTTTGACTTTATCAAAGATGCACATTGCTGACTCTCACACTCCCTTAAATACTGAACCTTATGAAGCTACCCTGCATGCATCTTACAGGCAAGGTAATGATATGCTTTGGTAACATGCAGTTCAAGCATGGAGGTAACAGCTTGGGGACAGATGCGAGAGACTTTCCAAAGAGCAGAAACTTCTTAGCAAACACCGCACCTGCGCGTCAACATATTCTCCCGAGGACCGCTCCTCTCGCTCCTGCTCGTACTTGTGGGGCTTAAACATCTTCTTCATCTTTGTGCCCATGCCCTCCTTTCGTGGGGACCGGGGAGACCTTGGCTGCTCCTGCATGTGGGGGAGAGTGCTCCCTTAATACATGGATGTATTCATTGTGTCTTCAAAATTAGTCTTTGATAATCTTATGAATCTTACATTGGTATGCCTATATGGCACAATTTTGGTTGAACCTGTTTGAATGATGTTGCCAGCCTTCTTTTCGAGGGGATGCTTTGGCCTAGTCCAGCACTGACAATGTGCTCAATGTGGATTGTTGACAAGGTGTTGTGATGCAATGCACCACAGGGATTCATGGGACTAGAGGGCATGTGAGGCCCCTGTCTGAGCAGACTGCTGAAACTGGTTCCGTAATAAAAGGAAATGGCGTCAGATAGGGGCTTAGCAGTGGGCATGGCTGCTAAATTGCATACATAGACTCTGGTGAAACGTTAAATGCATTTTACGCAATCTTATAAGTCAAAATTTCTCTAGCATTGCAAGTTTAGCTTGGAATTGCAAAAATCAGGCCTTCCGTGAAAATGTGACAAACATATCTCGGAACTATGTTGATAAGCACCACCTGCTGATGTTTGTTGCACAAGTTTGACTTCCAAACTGCATGCAAAGTTCTTCATTTCTTCATTTGAAGATCGAACGGGTTTGGCCCAAACCATGCAAGAAGAACTCTCCCTCCAGATTCATCGTGTCTGGAGAACTACAAGTACGCAAACAGGAGCGAGGACATTGACCATCAATCTCTGAAGTGACCCACCCCCAAGATGTAAAAGCTCACAGAAAGGAAGACCGCTCGAGGTAAAAATATATCAGAATTGGAAAAATCATTTGCAGCATTCAGGTGACGGCAAGGGTAGACTAAACTTCATGCAACTCATTCATAGGACCAGAGTGAATGGCTTGCATTGCACTAGAATCCTCTTACCATGGCAATTGCTGCCCCATTGTCTGCACCAATGCCAGTATTGTGGTGGCTGGTAACCCCCTCCCTGAGACCCTCCTCTCTAGTTGTCCGCTCCCGCAGCGGCTCCTGAATCCTTTCACCTCTAGTTTCATCAGCATCAAACACCTGCACGGGCTTGCTTCCAACATGCTGGCTGTGCACACCATGCTGCTGGACATCGAAGGGGCTATTCACACCCTCAGTCTGCGCCAGGCCCTGTTGCTCAATCCCAGCTGGAAGCTCGTAGGTGCGCATGTGCTCCTCTCCAAGGTACCCTGTCCGGCCACTCTGCATGAACTGGGACTCGTTCCGTGGTTGGCTCACATGTGCTTGGCCGCTTGGGTAGTCATGAGCAGATTCTGTGTGATCCGCCGGCTGGGGGCCGCGCCCCATCAGGCGGTTGAGGAGCGACATGGCGTTGATTGGCTACTCAATGTACCGCACTTATCAATTCAGATGGATCCTCTTTGAATTTCGAAAGTTGCTGTAACGAGCTGGGCAGAGAGTCCTGCACCAGTTCTGAACGGTGTGAAATTCAGGCGTTTTGGAATGCGACAATACGTAAGACTACCAATCCCTGGAAGCGAAAAGCTTATGAAATGGTCAATTTGCTCGATGAAAGAGAATGCAAGGAAGAGCTTTCTCAAGTGGCTTTCCGTTTCGTGCACTTCTGATCGAGGAAGAAAGACTCCATCAGAGTCCATCTCCTCATGAGGCTCCGTCTCCTTCCTCGTCGCCACTCCCTGCCACCTGGCCGAAGGCATACTGCTGATTCCCTGCTGCGCACTCCCCTCATCATAGCTGCGCGTAACAGAACGGACGGAATTACCTGTGAGGTGACATATGCACCCGTGGCAGCTAGATTCACGGGAGCAGTCCTCGAGCTGTGCAGTCGGTTTGGACGACAGCTCAGCTGCCAAGTGGCTCTAATGATTGCTGGTAACCTGCCACGTTCCACTTGGCAACTAATCCGACGGCGAAGACTTCATTCCATCGATCAAGAGACGGCTACGATTGAGGGTAGGGTCGTCCACGTTTGCACGCATATAGCCACGTGTCATGCTGGCAATAGACGGTTCTGCTTTTAATCTGCTGCACCGGAGCTCCGCCACGGTAGGGTGTTGAGCGCGAGTTGAGCGCGAGAACACCGTATTAAGGTCGAACTTCCCTTATTCGCCAAAATCAAAACCCTATTACCCGTGGAACGGAAATGTTAGAAATGTGAAGACGTCTTCATGCATATCTCATGCTTCGCTCCATCTTTTTGAGATCCGTCTTTTGCACATGAAAGGATACATCAAAAGGTACCTCGTAAGGCTTAGTCGGCAAAAACCAATAGCTCTAAGTACCTGCCATGACGTGGCCAAAACATGCGTTTCTGGGCGTTTTCGAGCAGGCACCGAGAACGCC